TAGTTTAGTTGCACCAGTGACACGAATAAACAGGTACACAGGCGCGCGTTTTTCGCTTGCCGCTGCTCCACTCCGAGGCGTGGGGCCCCTCGCACCACACCCCGCACACCCCTAGCTTTACGTCCCGCAACGGTCAAATCTAAGTTTTTCGGTACCGTTATCGCATAAAGGTTAAATACCGGTATAGCTTTAATTTCGGTACACTTATTTTATACCGGTACCGTACCGTTATACCTTAACCGCTTTCAGTCCCTGCATACAAGTTCACATATACATGACACCCAGACCCGAAACAACAATTTGTGGATCACACAAAGTATATAAAATGCTGTCTAGATGAAGTAAATGTTGTGCCTTATTTTGTATTTGCTCTTTTATCGGTTGCACTTCGCAACAAAGTGGCCAAATAACACCGCGCGCATCAAGACCGTGCTCGTGAAGAACTCAATATCATCATAACTTGTTAAATACTCACAGAATACTAATGAAACTTCACATACATTTGAAGACACTCACAAGCTTTAAAATAACGTTTATAGTAAGTCTTTAGAGCTCTTATTGAGAGTGCTGGGACCAATTGAAGTGTTTTTCTATGTAATGAAATAATATTTGAGCTTTGTATTATTTTGGTTGTTTTATTGCAGAACTAATTTAAACTACTTCCTAAGAAGCCATGTACAAAATATGATAAGAATCCGCTAAACCATTTCAAAGATCTAGCAAAACCAAAAACGTTACCCCAGCAGAATCTCGAATAACTTCGCAAACGATGAAAGAACAAATACAAAGTAAGGTACAACATTTACTTCATCTAGACAACTAATTTTATAGCTAGTAATTATTTAAGTATTCCCATTAGAAAGAAAAAGGTCTGGCTGGGGTAACGTTACCCCAGCAGGAAATGTTTTTGTGAAATAACTAAGAAACTATAAGCGCAACACATTTAAAAATGTGCGCAACAATTACAGAAGCCGCAAAACTAATAATCTATCAGATTCAAATGACCATTTTCGACAACATCTGGCCTGGGTAACGTACACTCGCCCATGGACACACGGAACACCAGTGACGTTACATGTACGTTACCGGACTTTTGGAGATTAAGAATTGAGGATTGTTGTGAATTCAGGGATTGGGGTGAAGCGGGGTGTAATTGAGGCTCCGGTAACCTCACTCATACGACGAAACACAACGCTATTGTTATTTCACTATGGTTTCCTGCTCGGCGCCGTGGTATCACTCCGGTCGAGCCGGCCCATTCGTGCCGAAGCATGGCTCTCCTACGCTTAACTTAATTGATAAAATTAGTATGAAGTAAGTCTTGCATACTAAGTAACTAGTTTGTCTGTATATGTGTGCTCACCTTATCACATAGTTCGCAGTAATGCTTCGTCTTGTCCGTATGAAACAATCTGTAATGATTGTTTCTGTACGACGTTTTGGTAAAAGTTTTGTTGCAAACCGGACATGGTAAGCTGAAATTAATAATTATAAACACATAAATACACCATTCATTTAATTATTTTTCTATCTTATACTATAATACACCGTGAAACCTATTTCGTTTTCGTCCCGAAGTAAAATGGTTCTGTCTTTGTAATACAATAGTTTTACAAACAAATAAAATGTTTAAAACAAAAAATAACTATTGAACTAGTGTAAATAGCAAACTTCGAAAGCGCATACGAACTCATAGTACACTATCAAAACATCACGCCGTATAATTCTCGAAGAGGTATTTCTCTTCGGTTGGCACGTGCGATGCGAATAGTGCCTACTTTACGTCTAGTGTTTCATGTGCGTATTTCCATGATTTTTTTTAAACTATAAATATGACGTCCGTATTTTTTTTTTTGTTTTTACTTTATACATCGAAAATACCTTACCTTAATGGTAAGCTATAAGGCTATTCTGCCGCGGGATGAAAACGAAATATATTTCACCGTGTAAAATAAAACCGTTCAATAAAAATATGTAATGAAAAAAGACTGCCTCGTTGCCCGAGTGGTCGCAAGTGCGACTGCCGGGCAAGGGGTCTCGGGTTCGATTGCCGGGTCGAGCAAAGTATTACTGGGTTTTTAAAAAAAATAATTCTCAGTAGTAGCAAGGAGTCTGAAATTGTGCCCGGTATATGGCAATCGGCTCACTCCCTATTACATGGGACTCATAACATAAATAGTGAAAAGTGGTCTTACATTGTACATTGGCATAATGTGCACCTCTGCCTACCCCTCCTGGGATAAAAGGCGTGATGTTATGATGATGATGTAAAAACACACTGTTTTATTATATACTTATTGTAGTTACGCAGGGCCGTTTTATACTACGCTGGGGCCCTTGGGTTTTTTGGAAAGTTTATTTTTTATAATGTTGCTCCACACTAGGATTTTCTCCTGTGTCGTGCGTGCGTTTACTAACATACAACTTTATATACACATGACACCCAGACCCGGAACAACTATCTGTGGATCACACACAGAATTGTTCCGGGATCGAGCCAGTTAAACATTTGTCGCTTCTTTTTATGGGATAAGCCGGTAAACGAGCAGACGGATCACCTGATGAACACCAGAGGCGGTTCAAGTGCGTTACCGGCCTTTTGGGATTAGGAATTTGAGGATTGTTGGGGATTTCAGAGATTGGGAAGGGGGGGGGTGGGATAATTGGGTCTCCGGTAACCTAAGGTAAACAACGAAACACAACGCAAGCGTTTTGTTTCGTTCTTCTCAGCCGTGGTATCACTCCGGTCGAGTCGGCCCATTCGTTCCGAAGCATGGCTCTCTCACACCTAACCTTCGGGGTCCCCTAAGAATGGGGGACCCTGGGCACGGGCACTGAGTGCCCTTTAGGTAAAAGACGGTACTGTAATTACTCACCTTACTTTAGGCTTTGGCGTATGTTTCACTGAATCCTTAACATGTTTCTGATACAAGTACACGCTCGGGAACTGCTTGTCGCACTCGACACAGTACCTTAAATCTTTACTCGTAAGATTCACTTCTGCGTTTATTTTGATCGGAACCAATTCTGGGTGATAGTACTTCAGGTGTGTAGCGTATTGGCGGAAATTTTTGAAATTTTTCTTACATACACTGCAGTATAGAGGTAGGTGGTAGTTTCTGAAAAAAGGATATTAATAAATAATAGAGTAGTTGCCACGGTATGAATATTAAAAATCTAATTAGTCCGTCATTATTTAGATAATGCAAATATATTAGATACGTATTTTTTTATTTTCTCAAATAAAGGTACAATACTTAGATTTGATGTTTTGCCGTTTGACCAGTCTCGCCTGGTGATAAGCGATGATGCGGTTTACGGTTCAGACAATGACGAGATAATCGCGCACAAAAATACATACATACATACATACATACAGGTCATCCTGAGTACTTAACTCGTCGAGTACCGTCGTTATAGACACAATTATAGAACAATAGGTTGCGGTCACCGGTGACCGCTTGGTGTTTGACAGTTTAAGTACCTTTTTTAAGTCGGTTAAAAATATATATATAAAACTGTCAAATAACCTAATGGTTAGCAATAAGGCTTACTAATGGACGCCCGCAATAGTTACCATTAATATTTTGATCACCACCAGTCGGATGTAGCCAACTAAATGTATTTAAAAATTGACTGCACGGTTGGTGCGGTGGCTGGGCAAAAAATAAAAATTACGTTTTCTTGTCGGTTATGGCTAACAGTGACGAGTTTGGCCACACTTTGTTTGTCGGCTATATCCGACGGTCGCGGTCCAAGGATCAATTTGCCATGTGGAAGAGCCGTGCTTCAGCACTGCTATGTTGGCTCGACAGGAGTGATACCACGACCGAGCAGGAAACTATAGTGAAACAACCACACCGTTTTGGTTCGTCGTTTGAGTAAGGTTATCGGAGGCCCAATTACTCCCCTCCCCCTCCGCAATCCTCAAATTCTTAATCCCCAAAAGGCCACCATCGCATTTGTAACTTTTGGTGTTGCGTGTGTATAATATCCATGGGTGCTTATGTCCATGAATTGCTTACCTTCAGGTGATCCATCTATTCTTACTCATATACCATTATCACTACATGGTATAAAACAAGGTGCTGTCCGCCATCTGTCTGTCCCTATGTATGCCTTGATCTTTAAAACTACGCAACAGATTTTGATGCGGTTTCTTTAATAGATAGAGTGTAGTGAAGTGAATAATATATGCATATTGCACCCGTGCGAAGCCGGGGCGGGTCGCTAATATATTATATAAAATACTTACTTCATATGCGCTTCAAGCTTGACTTTAACTTTAAATGTCTTCTGACAATGATCACACTGGAATATTTCATGCATATTTTTATAATGCTCAGTGAAATCACGTAATGTTCTGAAAAATATAAAACATATAATGAATCACTACATAGTATAAAACAAAGTCACTTCCCGCTGTCTGTCTGTCCCTATGTATGATTAAATCTTTGAAACTACGCCACGGATTTTGATGCGGTTTTTTGCATAGATTATTTGTTTTGACATGTCGAGCATTGGGTGTTTGTATGACGACTGTGGGAGGAAAATTGATTTAAATGATTATTTTTGTTTTTTTTTTAATAACGTTGCCCCACACTAGGATTGTCTCCTGTGTCGTGTACAAACATACAAAATCAAATACACATGAAACTCAAGACCCGGAACAACTTACTCTGGATCACACAAAGAGGTGTGCGTTACCCAGGCCAGACGTTGTCGAAAATAGTCATTTAAAATCTTATAGATAATTAGTTTTGCAGCTTCTGTAATTGTTGCGCACATTTTTAAATTTGTTGCGCTTATAGTTTTTTAATTATTTCACAAAAACATTTCCTGCTGGGGTAACATTACCCCAGCCAGACCTTTTTCTTTCTAATGGGAATATTTAAATAATTACTAGCTATAATATTAGTTGTCTAGATGAAGTAAATGATGTGCCTTATTTTGTGTTTGTTTTTTCATCGGTTGCGAAGTTATTTGAGATTCTGCTGGGGTAACGTTTTTGGTTTTGCTAGGATCTTTGAAATGGTTGAGCGGATTCTTATCATATTTTGTACATGGCTTCTTAGGAATTAGTTTAAATTTGTTGTGCAATAAAAAACCCAAAATAATACATAGCTTAAAGCTTTTCATTAAATACAAAAACATTTCAATTGGTACCAGCACTGCGCGGCAGCCAGTTAGTCAGTTAGTTAGTCCAGCGAAATAGTGACTCAAGAGGAAGGTATATCTGTGTAATCAACGCGTGCAACGCCGCGGGCAATATCTAGTCTTTATATATATAATTCTTCTGTGAGTGTGTATGTCACTGAACTTCTTTCAAACGACTAGACCGATTTTGATGAAATTTTTTGTGTGTGTTCAAGGGGATTTGGGAATGGTTTAGATTCACAAATCAGCCCGGCAGATGGCGCTGCAGTCGATGTTTAGGTTATTTATCCTAAACAGCTGAACTAATTTGAATGAACTTTTGTTTATACATTCAAGTGGATATGCAGGAAAACGTCTGTTGGGTCCGCTAGTTATCTATAAAAATTTAAAAACATATCGTGCAAGCATCGAAGCCGCGACACTGTCCCCAGCAGCAAACTGTTGAATGCCCTTTTGATCCAAAAATTTTGTTCTTGGATCATGGCAACAAATTATGTTTTTATTTACAACTAGCTTTTACCCGCGGCTTCGCTCGCGTCACAAATGGATAAAAAGCCAATGTGACATATACCAATACACACAGCGCCATCTGTACCAATACTTTTGTTTTCCCTCGGGAATATAAAATTTTTCCGGGATAAAAAGTACCCTATTATTTAATCCGGACTTCTAACTATACATGTGCAAAAATTCAAAGCAATCGGTTTAGTAGTTATGGTGTGATATCGGAACAAACAAACAAACAAACAAACAAACAAACTCACTTTCCGATTTATAATATTAGTAAGGATAAGGATAAGGAAGTAAGGATAAGGATGATCAATTTAGACTTACGGAAACTCCTGAGCGCATTTGTCACAAGTATATATTTTAGTGTGTGTCCTGTTCAGATGTTTCTTTAGTTCGCCCTTATTGCGACAGATGTCACCACAGAATTTACACTTCATCATGATATTATGTTGCAGCTTCCAGTGCGCGTGGAGGTGGGCTTCAGATGTTATATTGTCTTTACATATATTACAAGGTGCTGGATAACTAATCTGAAAAGAAATACACCTTATCTTAATACAATAAAATGAAACTGCGATATTATGTGTATGTTTCTTTCTCAAACACGTTAAAATAGCTGAAGGGATAGACAGAGGTGCACATTACGGCACTTAATGCCACTGTACAATGTAACACCCACTTTTCTCTATTTATATTATGAGTCCCATGTAAATAGGCTTCTATTGCCATGTACCGGGCATATTTCTAGACTCCATGCCACTACTGAGACTTTTTGAAAAAACCCAGTAATACTTTGCCCGACCCGGGAATTGAACCCGAGACCCTTTGCCTGGCAATCACAATTGCGACCACTCGGCCAATGAGGCAGTCAGGTCAGTCTAGCACTCGCACTTGCGACCACTCGGCCAACGAGGCAGTCAGGTCAGTCAGGCAGTGGCTGAAGAGATCTGGATAAATTTTGGAATAGGGCAAGATTATGGTCTGGATTAACACATAGACTATTTTTTATCCCACGGGAGACGGGCGAAGCCGCGGGCAGAAGCTAGTAATTAAAAAAATATATAATGAAGTCTTGATGATGTTTTATAAACACATATATTTTTAAACACTTTTCATTTTTTTTTACTATCATTGCCCTACATTAGGATTTTCTCCTGTGTCGTGGATGCGTTTACAAACATACAAGTTCACATACACATGACACCCAGACCCGGAACAACAATCTGTGGATCACACAAAGAATTGTTTCGTGCGGGAATCGAACGCGACGCGACACAGCCAGTTGCTAACCACAACGCCAACCGTGCATTCAATATTAATAGGATAGGATTGAAGGCTCACCTCTAAATGTTTAAAAACATTATGCCTCGCATAATCTAAATGCCTTGTGAACCCAATTTTACACATTTCACACACAAATTTAGCCTTTGATAAAGAAAATTTTATATGAATCTCCTTTATATCACTGAAGTCTAAATTCACACTATCATAAAACTCTCCAACCTCATCCGTAAAAGGGTCACGAATTACTCTAGACGTTGCAAAGTTAGAATACTTTTTTATGGACTGGTATCCAGCTGGCCTTTTCTTCTTCCTTTTTTCCTTCCGTAAAAGATCTCTTTCTTCTATTTTAAACTCCCTATCACAGTAATCCATGTCGTCATTATCATCATTGCAACTTAAACTGTCAACTTCATTTTTAATTTCATTATCACATTCTTCTTTTATCTCTTGCAATAATTCTGCGTTCTCTGTTAAAAAATTGTCTTCCTCGTCGATGACTAAATCATCTTTTGTGTCCGATTCCGTGTCCGATCCATATTGTGTGGAAAAGAAATTGTTTTCATTGATTTCTTCTTCATGAACGTATATGTGATCATATTCGGGATTTTTTGTTTTTGACAATCGTGTGTGGATATTGAATTTGTTCTGAAATTTTCATAAAAATAATTTAGTTGCATTACCATAGAAAAGTAGGATATTGGTATCAGACAGTTTGACTCTACATCCTGCAATTATGAAGCGTATGAACAAAGCCTTATTGAAAATTATAATCTAGTCAATCCTTACATTGTTAGTACCAAAGATCTATACTTATAAATTACCAACTAAACAATCGTTATATTGTTATTAACATAGATCTAAGCACTCCTTACATTGTTATGGACAAAGCCCTATACATGTAAATTGCAATTAAAGCAATCGATACATCCTGTGGCACTTATACGCGCAAGTATAATTTATCCACTAAGGGATAACCCCCACCACTGGCCATATAGAATAAAATATGTATATGTCTTAGTTGTGTATAGAGTCACTTCAGATAAAGTTATTCAACTATTAACACCGTTTTAATATCACACAGTAATTATTGTAAGTGGAAAGTTGTGAAGTGTAAAATAAAGAAATTATTAGCAGCACTTGTGGTCTCATTTCTAAAAGGGACTCCCGGAGCGCCATCCTAACAGTTGACACGCGAATTCGATGCGGTGCAACGCAGCGGCTTTATCTCACATTCATGTCAATCATTTCATTATAACAAAACAATATCGCATCCAAATATGACAGTTCACTCGAAAATATCAAACCAATCGCGTTCGCGTCATTTCACCGCATCCCACGGGCGTATTGTCATGTAGAACACTTTAATAAATTTCAACAGTGTGTTGTTTTCGTACCACTCTGCATTCGCTTCCAGATCACTCACACAGGATGAGTGTGAAATAGATAAAGATTTTTTTTTAGAGACGATGTCTAGAGAATGTAATGAAACAAGAATCATCATTATAATCAACAGCCTATAAGTGTGCACTGCTGAGCAAAGGCCTCTTCTCAAACGGAGAAGGAATGAGCATTAATTTCACACTTGTCCAAAGCAAGTTGGCGATCACTTATGAGTGAGTATTTTTAGGGTTGGAGAAAGAAAAATTCTTAAGCGCCCATTGCTGAATTTTAGGTAGTAGTTTAAAAACAAAATATAAGATTTACCGTATCATGCATATAGCCATGTAGGTAGTCCGCTAGTTGTTTCTGAGCTGATTTGATCCGAGTTTGAAACTGTTGAGTTTTATTTAACAATGCTTTACACTCCCAGCAAAGAAGTAAGTTTTTGTCCTGAAATAATATATACAACTTTATAATATTTTAATACAAAAAGTCTACTCAAAGTTTTTCTTTTCATAGAAGTTAGGCGGGGTACAATTGACGTATTTTTTCCATTCATATTATAAAATAGGCTCAAGGCTGTCTACTAAGGGTCTTCTCTACAAAAGAAGGTTTGCCGTAATGTTCACGCTTGGCAGGGGCATTAGAGATCGCAGTTAATTAAAAGGTTCAAATTAAAATTGCCCAGTTTGTTAAATGTGTACATACTTCTTTAGTCAGCAGAACAGGGGCAGCAATACAAATGTATTCCACTCATCTGGCTACACACAGCTTCTTTTACTCATTTCTATGACAAACGACTTACAAATTGTATGTTACAAAATATCGATATAAAAGAAATAAAATCAATTATTTCAATAAAAACTCAAATAAAATTAATACTAACTATTACTAAATTAAATATAAAAGCATAAAAGTCATCTATTAAATTAAGACAACGAACTTAAAAAACAAGATGAAAATATAAAATCAATAAATAACAAAAGGAAATCGGCAAAAACATACATTTTCGTTCCTCTTGTCGTCCCTCAGCTTTGTAAACAGTGTCTTTTGCCGCCCAGTAACGCATGAAATCTTTCTGTCAGCACTCAAACAACCGTGGCATAGCACTATCATACGTTGGCATTCAATCTTAGCTTCCATTTTAGTAAATAAATTGCATATTTTGGTATTTATTTCAATATTTTCTGAAATATGGACTCATTCGCCAATCGTTCACGCAAATATTTTGACAGTTTGAAAATGACAGTCAATTAGTCAATAAAGCCAAAAAGTAAAAAAACATTGAACCTTTTTTTAAAGTTGGCCTCATGTTGATTGAGCTATACATATTGATTTTTGTAGTACTAGGCGCTGTAGTCTGTGTTTGAGTGCCCGACCCAAGGATTAAAAGATTTTGATACTTATTTTCGATCTCTAACGCCCCTACCAAGCGTAAACATTACGACAAACGTTCTTATGTAAAGAAGACCCTTAAGTCCAACAGTAGCCTGTCACAAATTATTTTATAATATGAATGGAAAAAGCACATCAGTTTCCCTCTGCCTTAAATGATGAAGCAGAATGAAAGAAAACAGCAGATGCAGCAATGTGAGATTCAGAACGTTTCTTCCTCAAACCCTACGAATACTCACCTTATTGTTTCTCGTGTTCGTTATTGTTAGGACAGGTGTGTATGCAAGAATAACTCGACACAATCACAGGGTTATAGCACCAGCGCCGTAAATAGGGCGGTGCCAGCGGTGCCCAGGCACAGGGCGCAGACACTGGAGGGGCGCAGAAATGACCAGACTGTACTATCTAAATCTGTATCGCATTTTTAAACGATCTTGAATAAACAACACATTTCAATCGCTTTCAATTCGCTCCACGGTGTACGCCATCATGCGCGTTAGGGACCGGACGACGGGGACTGCAGTGTCCAGGAGTAAGGTCGTTGTGGTGGTGTCTCTGGATATCGCCAACGCCTTCAACTCCCTGCCCTGGAGCTGCATCTTGGAGGTACTCCGATATCATCGGGTGCCTACCTACCTCCAAAACAACTTCGTTGAGCACTTCCGACGTTTGGCTCCAAAGTTGGAGAGGACGGGGGCGGCGTTTAAGCGCATCCTCCCCAACATCGGGGGGCCAAACGCCTCCTGACGGAGGTTATACGCCGGGGTAGTGCGGTCCATGGCCCTCTAAGGCGCCCCTGTGTGGGCGCCGAACCTGATGCGGCGGCCCGCTCGGGCGCTGCTCATGTCACAGAGGGTCATGGCGATCCGAATGATCCGCGGATAACACATGATCTCCGAGAAGTCGGCGAACCTCCTTGCCGGATTACCGCCGCGGGATCTGGAGGCGAAGGTGCTCGCGCGCGTGTATCGCATGCGCATGGAGGCACGTCGCCGAGGCGAAACTCCGCCACCGCGCCAGATAAGTACGTGGTGGGAAGAGCTCCGGCGAGATCTCATGGCGGACCGCGGAATGGCAGCAACGAATTGTCTTAAAACATCTACTAAGTACCGACCTATATCTTGGTTAACAATAAACAATTATATTTTCATGCACATTTGTCCATTTTATTATCAGAGCCTGGTAAGGACATTTTTCAAGGGCGCAGTTTTGAAAGCTCGCACCGGGCGCCTAGAAGGCTAGTTACAGCACCCGAGGAGAGAGGAGGGGAGCTAGTTGTAATAAATAAAACATGTTGTAAAACTTATATATGTACTTGTTTTATTCGATTAAAATTACATAAAGTAATATTCAGCCTTATATATTATCTTGTGTTAACCTAAAAATTATATAAACAGTAATTTATCGAGGTGTCCTTTAAATCAATGAATAAAGGGCATCCCCACATTTAAAAAGCACGGCTCCAGCGCGTCGTCGGGGCGGTGATTGAACGCTAGATGAAAGCTTTTAACAATAAACCTACGATGCGACGTCGTTTCGCTGGCGCCTGGTGGGCGGCTCGCCTTATGCACGCGGGCGTGGGCGCCTCGACTACACTTCGAGTGGACCGCGCACTGGCCACCCGCCGTCGGCTTTTGTATTGACGTTACGAATTGTATCATACGACATACGATTTCAATTTGAATTTTCTTCCTCCATCTACCCGATGTAAAGAAAAAGGTTTTCTTAATTTTTGAATTGATTACTATTGTCAAATAGTTTTTGGTTTTTTTAAACGTCAAATAGATAAGAATTTTGTGTTAAAGAATTTAGGGAAGAAAAAGAAATTAAATGTCGTTTTTTAATTTCAAAAAGTAACACATTAGTTTTATTCCATTCTAAATCATAAGATTTAGTCTTATATATATATACAAAAAAAAAAACATTTAAGAATATAAAAAGTAGTAGCCCACTAGTAACGGGAGAAATCAAAGCTACCGGTGGTCAGGGCTTTTTTTTTAAGGGGGGGAAAATCATCGAATGACTGCTCCCGCCTGGGTGAGGCGAGAGGGAGTGTCAGACTCTTACTGACTAAAAACCACCCCGTTCCTTCTCCTGCACGTCGAGCCGGAGCCCCGGAGGGAAAGGAATTTCCGGACAATACGCGCCGTGTCCAGAAGTACTGCTTTCTGCACCATCATATTAAATATATATTATTATGTACGTTGGGCAATTACTAATCTCTCATAACATTTTTGCAGGTTACCACCTACCACGTATACATTTCTGCACTACCCAAAAGGATGACTGGCAGAGAATGTTGTTAGCATTAAGTCTTCCTTATGCAATTGTATAAAACTTAAATAAATAAATAAAATAAAATAAGGCTGGGTTGGAGCCGTGCTTTTTAATTGTGGAATGACCTTAAGTGATCAAATTTTACGTGTGAGAGAGCCATGCTTCGGCACTGCTGGGTCGGCTCGACCGGAGTGTTACCACAGCCTCACAGAAAACCGACGTGAAGCAACTACAACGTTGTGTTTCGTTGGTTGGAGGCCCAATTACCTCCTCCCTAGTCTCCCGAATCCCCGAATCCTCCACAATCCTCAAATTCCCAATTCCTAAAAGGCTGGTAACACACTTGTAACGCCTTGGTGTTTCGAGTGTCCATGGGCGACGCCGATTGCTTACCATCAGGTGATCCGTCTGCTTGTTTACCGGATTATGCTATAAAAAACAAAAAAAAAAATAATAATGCGGGAGTTCCTATTACATTGAACAATGACTTTACCTAAACATTTTTATTACTTTCTGGAGGTGACTTCGCTCGCGTTCCCGTGGAATATAAAATAGTCTACGTGTTATTCCAGTCCATAATCTACCCCAGTTCCAAAATTTCATCCCGATCCCTTCAGAGTACCAAGCACGAATAACTATCGCAATCGTAACGTAATAGTATCGAGTGCGTTCGGCGCTCTGATTGGCCGGCTCGAATGAACCAACCAATCAGAACGCTTACTTCGCTCGATACTGTTACGATACGAATGCGATAGTTATTCGTGCTTGGCCCTCAGCTTATTTGACGTCGTCGTCGGCCTTTTAGAGGTTAGAAATTTGAGGATTGTTGATTCGGGGATTAGTGATTGGGGAGGGGGGTGCGGGCCTCCTGTAACCTCACTCACACGACGAAACACAACGCTGTAGTTGTTTCACTATGGTGTTCTGCTCGGCCGTGGTATCACTCCGGTCGAGCCGGCCCAGCAGTGCCGAAGCATGTCGAAGTTAAGGACATGGTTTAAGGTATATAATTGTGGCGATACATGTCAAAAACTATCGATGATCACGTCGGGGTCACCACTTTAGGGAACAGAGAGTTTTTTTTTTTAAGAGTGGAAAATCATCGAATGACTGCTCCCGCCTGGGTGCGGCGGGAGGGAGTGTCAGACTCTTACTGACTAAAACCCACCCCGTTCATTCTCCTGCACGTCGAGCCGGAGCCCCGGTTACCCGTTAGGTTCTCCGCGACAGTTCCCTATGATCGGAAGAGAAGGATCCTCTGACCAGGCGAGGTGATCGTGCCTGGCGGGCTTTCTGCCCAACAGTTGTTCGTTGGGATTTTCTATCCGTGTTAATTCGCACGTAAACTTCACATGTGCGATTTTGGATTTTGTGACGTCACTTGTTGATTTGTTTTCAACGATAATCTTTGACATGTGACGCCACATAATTATTTATTCCCAGAATGTAGCAACTTATTGTGGGTATATAAAGCAGCGGGGTGTGCGAATGTCGCCGTACAGTGAGTACATTGTAGAGGGCGCTCTCCTGTATGCGTTCTTATATGAGACTTGAGAATTGTTTGCGTCTGAAAATGAGAAAATAATATTGTTAGTGTAGATAGCGGTAAATCGGGGTAAATAGATATAGAGGTACAGAAGGGTGTGATTAAATATTGAGAAAATGTTCTAGTATTTTATTCACCCCATTCCTGTATCTATTCACCCCGTTTTACGGTACTAGCTATAACCAACGGCTTCGCCCGCGTCCTCGTATGATAAAAAGTTGGAGTTTCTTGCTCGTTCTTCTCCATTCGAATCTACGTTTTGGAATGCACACCTAGCTTCACCTAGCTTCACTGACGGACTGACTGACAGACTATTATTTATTTGCCGATTGTATTTGTTGACGTTTCAAAAGTATCAAACTATGGTTTAATCGAAATAAATGCTTTGACTTTGTAGCCTACGTACGTGTTGCAGTATTTTATTCACCCCATCCTGTATCTATTCACCCCGTTTTACGGTACTAGCTATAGCCAACGGTTTCGTCCGCGTCCTCGACTCCTCGTGGAATAAAAATATGTTATTCCGGACTATAATCTATAATTGAATCAAAATTCATTCAAATCTATGAAATAATTCTTTGGGAAAGGATAACAAACATACCAACAGACTCACACACAATTAATTTTCGCATCTATTTATAACTGCCTCGTTGGCCGAGTGGTCGCAAGTGCGACTGCCGAACAAGGGGTCTCGGGTTCGATTCCCGGGTCGGGCAAAGTATTACTGGGTTTAAAAAAAAAACTCAGTAGTAGCACGGAGTCTGGAATTGTGCCCGGTATATGGCAATAGGCTCACCCCCTATTACATGGGACTCATAACATAAATAGTGAAAAGTGGGTGTTACATTGTACAGTGGCATAATGTGCACCTCTGCCTACCCCTTCGGGATAAAAGGCGTGATGTTATGTTATATATAACACTAGCGTCATGCACATAAATGTCCTACAGTCGGTGGCGCTGTGTGTTGGGTTGTTCCGTTCCCAATAAAAAGGATGACCGGACCAATTGTGTACTTTCCTTAATCAAAAATAAATTATTTCTACTGTTCAATACAATAAAATAACATAACATAACATCACGCCTTTTATCTCTGAAGGGGTAGGCAGAGGTGAACTTTATCCCACAGTACAATGTAACAGCTACTTTTCACTATTTATGTTATTAGTCGATATTTACATATTTATGTTTGTATAAAGCTAAATTTAATTTAATTTGATTATGCTGGTCGGTCTTATAGTGATTTCATTTTATTTTCATTTAATTTGTAAAAGTCTCAACATGTTTTTTTTTTCTCTCTTTTCTGAACTATATATAACCACAAAAAATTATATATAATTATCATACTTTTGCCTTTCCCCTCAGGGATCAAAAGGCGTAATGTTATTTATGTTTTCTTAGTATATTTTATCAGTTATATAAGTTTGTGTGATGGTGTTTATGATTTAATTTATATTCTGTGGAAAACGCCGTTGGTTACACATTTGTTCGAACTACCTATGTATTGTGTCATCATGTATCATGTAATGTGTCACTGTTTGTTTTCCCAAATAAATAAAATAAAATGTTTCGAACCCTCTCATGCTTAAGAAGCGGGCGTGTTTAGCCTCCGGGGCTCCGGGGACGTTTAATTTTTGATAAGAAAAACCTATTTCTACATTTGTCATAGGATTCATGATAGGGCATGATGAGCAAAGAATAGGGTAGCACCTATTAGAAAGCCATACTCACAGTGAACCCTCTACCGCAGTAATCACATATCTTATTCCTCGGCGGCCGGAGCTTGTTGTGGACATACGACACGTGACGGTCCAATGTGTAACTGTTCTTGAATACCTGTAACAATATTACACATGTACACAGCAGCTCATGTAAAGAGATTGTCCAGTCAACTGATGGTAGCGGTGACTGTCCAGGCTACACACGTATTTAGGTATCGTCATGAGCTAATGTTCTCATGTAAACAGTTGCTCATGTAAAGAGATTGTCCAGTCAACTGATGGTAGCGGTGACTGTCCAGGCGACACAGGTGCTTCGGAGGCCCAATTACCCCTGCCCAATGTTTTTTTATAATCTTCGGTCCTTCCCCCCCCCCTGGTGCAATTTCGTGAGATTTTTTTCAACACCCTCCCCCATCGCCCAATCTCACGTGAGATTTTTCGAAATGTTGGTTTTTCATGTAAACGCGTTGGTTTGTTATTGTAAAAAGAAAAAACCTATATGCATGTACCTACAATTAAATCTTAAGCATTTACAATCTGGATTAAATGAACTAAAATAATGTATTACTTTTTTGTTTCAATCAGTTAAAAAATTACATGATACTTGCCGAGACCCCCCTCTCTCCAACGTAAGATTAGATGAGATTTAAGTCTACCCCCTCCCCCCCTAAACATCTCACGTAATTTATGGACGCCCCCTTAATATTTGTACACCACTCATTGTTAAACATGTTGATATAAACAGTACTGTACGTACATCTATTTCTACATGTATTACTATAACCTACACATGTTTATCTTGTCGTGGAGAACCTAACGGGTAACCGGGGCTCCGGCTCGACGTGCAGGAGAAGGAACGGGGTGGTTTTTAGTCAGTAAGAGTCTGACACTCCCTCCCGCCTCACCCAGGCGGGAGCAGTCATTCGATGATTTTCCCCCTTAATAAAAAAAACACATGTTTATCTTTACTTTTTCTTTACCTTAGTACATTGAGTACATTTGTGCCCTATCTTCAAATGTTCCCAGTTTATATGTACTTGCAAACTGCTTTTAGTTAAAAATTTCGCACCGCATTCATCACAAATGAATCTGTAATGAGACAAAGCTGGGTATCATCATTGGGTACTTTTCTATATCAAACATAAATTATTTCGACTGTCAGACTTAAGATATTTGTTTTCTCTTGGTTTTGTTTTTTTTTCTATTTTAGTATGTTCTGTTATTTGTATGTTGCGTCAGGTATGTCTTTACATTATTCTCACATGTGTGTACAATATTGGAATATGTATCAGAGCAATGTAAAACAGACTTTTTTTAAAA